GTAAAATGTGGGCAACGGCATGAAAAAAGTGGTTTGTACTTTTACTTTTATACGTTAGGTAAATTTACCAGCCTGTACTTTGTTACTTTTACTTGAGTAGAGAAGTTTAATCAGTACTTCCACTTTTACCAGAGTATTTTTTAACACAAGTATCTGTACTTTTACTCAGGTACGGAAAGTGAGTACTTTTGCCATCCCAGGTCTTTTCAGAACCACAACCTCCCCATCTCAGGGTCCATTCAGAACCAGAATCTCTTCTTCTCTAGGTCCGCCCAGAACCAGAACCTCCTACTCTCTTGCTCCGTTCAGAAGCTCCTTCTCTCAAGTTCCGTTCAGAACCCTGACCACCCAGGGTGCAGACCAGGAAGCAGAGTACATAATTATTATAGAAAGGTTAAAGTAGGGTAAGTTGCATACCACTAGTTATAATGGTTATAATGGAGTTGTTAGTGTTTTATATTTATCTATTCATATAATAATTTTTCATTTTTATATCTACACCTTTGCAACCTGCATATGGCTCTTTGACCTCTTTACTGTGGCTCTAAAAGAAATAAGAAGATAATATAAAAGTAATATGCTTTTACAGCTTTAACTATGTGTGCTATATTTTTATGCTTTTTACTCATTCTAGAAAAAAAAATCTTTGTTAAGGTTGAATTCTATTTTTTTTTTCTAAATTCTAAAAAGGGTTTTTTAGGTAAAGTTTTTTAGGCATTCAATATTTATTAAATCGTTATCATGACTGAATTGAAAAGGTTGCAGACCCCTTATTTATATGATTTATATGCCCGCTAGGTGGCGCAGTTCTAGAAGAGTTCTGCTGAGCAACGCTCTTCAAAACTAGAAGAAGTCAAGATGGCAGCTGCCGATGGAGTTCGAATGAACTGATTTAAAGTTCAGTCCAACAATACCACTGCCAGCAGTAAAACCTTGCATACTACCTGAAGCGAAAGTAGATCTTAGACTATTATCAGTAGAAAAGAAAAACAAGGATGGGTGGTGTATTTTGAATTCACATACATAACAGGCATATATTAATAGTTACTACATCTTGATGCAAATATCCATACAGATGAACCAAAGAGTTTAGTTAACAAGACAGGAGTATCTTTTATTGTCCCGGAGTTTAATATTGTAATAGGAAAAAGGACCAGCGTTATTATTTCAGTATACACAGGAGAAATTATAGCAATTCTGTTTGCAGTACAATGAGTAGAGGAAATAAGACCATTAACAGTGAATATTTGTTCAGATTCATCGTCATCACTAATCAGTTTATAGAGAATTCACTCAGATCGTGGAGCAGATATTTTCATAGAAATCCAATTCATTTCAATTTATTTATGTAGCGCCAATTCACAACACATCTCAAGGCACTTTGCAGTTCAACCAGATCATACAGTCAAATGTATTAAAAGTTTTCTAGAAACCAGTTGATTGCATCGACTCATTGACTTGAAGGCAATCCCTCACACCAAGCATGCTTGTAGCGACAGTGGGGAGGAAAAACTCCCTTTTAACAGGAAGAAACTTCCAGCAGAACCAGGCTCAGTGTGAGCGGCCATCTGCTGAGGCCGACTGGGGTTGAAGGAGACAGAAGCAGAGATACATTAAAAGGTGACCTGCTCCAGGAAACACACAGCCAGGCAAAAAAGCTCCGAGCCAGCTCCCATTTCAGAGGATGAAGTGAGCACATCCAGCCAGTCACAGTCAGAGAAACAGGACTACACTGAAAAACAGGCCGATCCCAACATCTATAGACAAAGGTTTTTGATGGCAGCAGCACAGGTGATATTTTTTCTCCAGGATGGAGTCACAGCCAAACAGGAACAGATGAGGCGAAGTTATTATGAGAAAAACAAGAGAGAGCAGAACGTTAAAGATTGAACTAACAGATTCTG